AGATGTTATTGTGTGCTATTGTTTTCTTTTCATTTTATGCTTTTATTCCTGTATCAATTCTATTCTATGATTTGCCTCTATTTATAGATTAAACTGTGTATATATATATTTGTTACTAAACAATGAAATTGTTCAGCCTCTTTTTCCCGGAGAGAGTGGAGTTGATCAATTGGTGGAGATTATCAAGGTCTGCTGATATATTTATTGTATTTTAGTTTTTTTGTCTTTTAGCTTTCCATGCATTTCTCTTCACCATAGTTAATTCTGGATTAACTGTCTTTTTTATTCAAGATTTTGGGAACCCCAACGCGAGAAGAGATCAAATGTATGAATCCAAATTACACGGAGTTTAAGTTTCCTCAAATCAAAGCTCATCCTTGGCATAAGGTCTGTTAATAAATCATGGTGGTATTCATGTTCCAAAACTTAATGACTGAGAACAAACCAATGCACTGTAGATTTTTCAAAAACGGATGCCTCCTGATGCAGTTGATCTCGTATCAAGGCTTCTTCAGTACTCTCCAAATTTGCGATATAAAGCTGTAAGAGTTTCAACTTTTGATTTTTTGGGCTTCAAATTGACCTCTGCTATTTGCATGAGCTTAAGTATTAATGCAGCATTGACATTTTGTCTTTATTTTGTTCTACTTAATTGCTGCTTAACTTGTTGAAAAGTTTTCATTTTTATGCAAAATATGCTTCATCATGTTGTATGTACATATTTTTATTACTTAAATGCAAATGAACTTGTGGAGCAACTCTTGATGATTCTATTTCATACAACGCATGGTAGTAGAATTCAAGTTGGTTGGTTGAAGTGGAGTAATGCTTCAGGCCTATTGTATGATAGAAAAGTACCGCTTAGACTAAAAGGAAAATTTTATAAGATGGTGTTGAGACCTTCAATGCTCTATCGCGCTGAATGTTGACCTTTAAAAGAGAAGCATAAAACTAAGTTAAGTGCTGCCAAGTTGAGAATGATTAGGTGGAAGAGTGGCTTTTCACTTAGAGACAAAATGCAAAATGAATATATCCATGTAGGGTTGGTGTAGCTCCAGGGACGGACAAAATTAGAGAGATTCATCTTAGAAGGTTTGGTCATATTAAACGTCGGCAATCTGATGATTTGATTAACAGAGTAGATGCTTTAGATTTGAATTATGTTAAGAAAGGCAGAGATAGACCTAGAAAGACTTCGGCATATTGTATAAAACATGATCTTAATTTATTACAATTAAGTGAAAACATGATACTCAATAGGACATAATTGGGATAAAGGTTTGTTGTTGTTGTATTTCATACATTGCAAGCTTATTTGTTGGGAAATATCATATTTTGCATCTTATTTTTGTAATGAGAATATTGTGATTCTATTTCATACAACGCAGATGAAGCCTATGTTATATTTCAATATCGAAATGTTCTCTGTATGCTACACCTTCTAAATGATTAGAAGAATTTTTTTCCCCATTCCCTTATAATTTTTTTTTCATGGCATTTACATAGCACACAAATCTTATATTTTTACATATCTGACCCCTAAATCTTCATATTTATAAACATACTACTTTAATCTTTAACGTCACATCAAAAATAACACTATTACCACTTTTAGAAAAGAGAAATCCACCTTTTTATTCATAGGTTTAAAACACCAGAATTGATATGCATGTAAATATGAAAATTTAGGTGTGAGATATAAAAATACATGAGAACTTATCTTTTTTCCTTTTTATGTACTTTATATACTCTTGCTGCTTGGTTTCAACACATTCAAATCACATACCAGAACTAAAACTACAACACTCCTAACATCTCTTCTGAAGCTCTTTGAGATGATCCTATTCTTTCATGGAACCTGCAGTTAGATGCCTGCGCGCATCACTTTTTCGATGATCTACGAAATCCGAATACTCTGCTTCCGAATGGAAGCTCTCTTCCACCTCTATTCAATTTCACCCCTCAAGGTACTTTTCATCCACATCTTTATTCATTCATCACCCCATTCCCCATTTCTTTATAGTTTCTTAACTGCTATAACCCATTAAAATTCGCTTTCAGAGCTTGAAGGTGCTTCCCCTGATCTGATTCAGCGTCTCATACCTGAGCATGCTATGCGCTAAATTAATCAATATAAACAGCAATTGGTTATTTCTGGGAATTGGAGAAGAGAACGATTGTTCTACTTGGGCTTGCTTCTTCATGAAATTAGCATTCTGCACATTGAAAAAGGAAGAACCATAAACGAATGCTGATCTGAACTGAAGCCTTCCTGGCAACCATTATTCATCAGAAAATAGGCATCGTTTGTTTTTTTTTTTTTTTTGGCCGGCCATCTGATTTCCATCTATTTGTCTTGGCTTATTACCCCTCTAGATCATCTGAAACTTTTTGAGCTGTCATTGTAAGCTAAAATGTTGTTGTAATTGCCGTTCTTTGATGATGCACTTCTTTGTATTCCTGAACTGTATTAGGGTTATTATAAGGATCAGTAATAAATTCATATTTTTTTATATTGATGAAAAGGTGGCTGAAAGTATTTTCAATCATGAAACTGTGGTTTATGATATCTGTAGATATAGAATTCATGGCAAACATTGAGTTTAAAAATGACAGACTTAAGGAAATAATATTACATCAGGACTCCGCACGTAGAGTTACGTGTGGAGTCTAATGAAATCACGCCACACGTGAATGTGAGAAAAAAAATCGGACCGGTAACACAGGAGAATATTCCCCCCGTGTTATTCATGTATTATTGTGTGTTATTCAAATATTATTGATGTGTTATTGTGTTATTATAACACCAAAAATATTCTCAGAACACAATAACACATGAATAACATACAATAACACTTGAATAACAAGAGGGGAATATGTATTACCGGACCGATTTTTTTTTCTCACCGCATGATTTCATTGAACTTCGCGTGTAACTCTACGCTGATGTAATATTTTTTCCTCAAAGACACTTTAAATATTGAAATAATAAAAATATAAAAATATATTTAATCTAAATATCATCGATATATAATTTAATTATTGACGATTAAGATAAATATCAAACGTTATCCCAAAGTAAAATTGGTGGAATATTTCTCCTTAGAGTTTTAATAATTCATGCCGGCTGTTATGGGAAGAATGGTATAGCGTTGTTTTTAGAAGATTTACATACTGACTAATCACAATTTATATATTTACATATTAACACCTAGATTGCTATTTTTGTCCCGTCTTATGCGTGTAAGAAAAATACGTATTTCACATTTTTAGAGTTAGAATACTTGTATTTTTTTTATATGATATCGTTCAATTTCAATTTGTCGTCTGAATCACACCTGAGAGATAGAGCATTCAGAACGAGGATGGAAAAATAAAGAGCGAGAGATTGTACAGGTAAGGTTCAAATGGACCGGATTATTGAACTGGTAAAGGAGAAGGTTTAAGATTCAACCGTTGGACTGGATTGAACGGGCGGTTGAATCGGATGATATCATAAATATAAAAAAAAAATATTAAATATAACTTAAATGCCATAACAATTAGATGAAATTCATGATAGAAGGTTAATAAGAATGAAGCATAACCAAGAAAATATAACAGTGTAAAAAATAAAAGATAATAGAGTAATAGTCATGCTTATTTCACACAAGGTAAAAGAGAAAGTTAAGCTTACACATTCGTCATGATATCAAAAGATTCAAACCATTCTTCATTATTTCCAATAAAAATATGATATGGATGAAAAAAAATTATAGTTTAACTGATTGATCGGTTTGACTGTTGGTTTGATGTCGAGCCGATTTTCAGCCAACTAGAACCAGGCCATCGGCCGGTTCACAGTTAAACCAGTTTAATTGATTGGTTCGGTCTGTTTTTTAAAACGTGATGCACATGAATTTGGCCCTCAAGGTCGAACGAGTGTATTCCTGACTCTTTGACCTTTTTTTTATTTCATCGAATGAGAGTGTTACATAAAGAGGAATCTAAAAAAAGAGGAGTCTCAGTACATGAAAGGATCCTATTTATAGATGATGGGAGGATAAAAAATAAAATTACAATATCATCCCTAATTAAAAAGGGTTAATACATGGCCTATCGTTCAGGAGCTCATCGATTGGTGGAGCTGTCCTTCAGTCGGTAGTTTGGTGGGCTGTGGGTGGTCGAGGTGGTCGACTGGCTGAGGTGATTAGATGTTGGATTGAGGTGGGCGGCCAATGAGGTGGCCAACTGGGGATTTGAGGTGATTGACCAATGAGGTGACCGATTGGTAGATTGAGATGGATTTCTAGTGAGGTGGTCAACTTGTGTTCTCTCGATAGTTTTATGTCTGTTGGTCTTTGCTACCATCAAATCCCATCGCGATATGCACAAATATAGTTTTTGACATTCATAAATGTCCTCTAGTCTCTTACTTCAAAAAGTTGTAAATACATAAGACTTATATGGTATATATGTAAGTGCTCTTCTTCTTCTTCTTTTTAATTTCTCATTCGGATTAGGGTCGTAAACGAGTCGAAGACGAGTGAACCTGTGCTCAGCTCAAGTCCTGCTAGTTAAAAAATACCACTATTCAGCTCGTTTATATTTTGAGTAAAAAATATTTGTTCGTGTTTGGCTCTTCTTTGCTTAGTGAGTCAAACACGAGTTGTTCATGAAGAAAGAGCCATTCTGATATCCCTAATCAGACATCCGTAGGAAGTTGAGTTAGAGAGAGATTTAAATCCTATTCTTTATATTAAATTATAATTTAAATACATTTTAATATTTTATTCTATTTTTAAATTAATAATTTTAATTGATCATAAATCTTTGTAGTCTTATAATCAATTAAATTATTTAAAAATCAAAATGAGTTGAACAGAACGAACAAATATTTGTTCACGTACAACTCGTTTATCCAATGAAAAAAAATTATTCACGTTCAGCTCATTTACACTTTTTAATGCGTCAAACACAATACAATGATGAATAACGAGCGGTTTTGAAAAACCCTATTTGGGGTCTAATTATCGCGACTGTAATGGGAGAGCGCACGTAATAACCGCTCCTGTTTGGGATGATGATTTTTGCATGCCTTGCAGTGGGAGTTGCCCGGGTCCATAATGCGATGTTTTTTAAATTCATTGGTAAGAAGTAATTTGACCAAGTGATTTTTTTTTTTTCTCATTCCTACGACAAAATAAAAGTGACCAATTTTTTAATACGAATACCATGTCTTCAATTTTCATATCATTAATTAAATTGCTAGCTGGTTTCAAGGCAGCATGATTTATTAGGTAATATGAAAAATTAGGTCAAAAGTCTAATTATTTTTTTTTTCAAAGTTAATTTCTGGTTGAAATCTTCTAACTGGAGTAAACATTGGATTAATTAACAAAAATATGAGATTAATGTTTAATGGCAAGTAATTGCCAATTGCTTAATTTTATTTAGTTTTTGTATTTGACTTGTGTTGGAAGGTCTAAAAAGATAGAGAAATGAATTATCGTCTTAATATTGCATGAAAATTCAGGATACATTAAAGAAATTAAAGAGAAGTATGATGAGACATATCAAATTTTTACTCGAAAAATCACCCTATAAAGTGGACAAAAAATCATGAGGCCTGGTCCAGTTAAAACAATCTACTATATATGGTGAGTGCACAAATCTACTATTCTCCTGAATTATGAAAGAGGAGTTACAAAGTTGATCATTATAAATGTGGAACATTAATTCATCAATAATAGTTGTGTTATGGTTATAATGAATGTATTTCTTGGTAGTAATGGGCTACAAGGATAGTAATTCATTGTGAATATTGTAGATGATGAATATAGCACCAGTTTCTCATACAAACCATAGTTGAAAGCACTGATGGTGGTTGGTCTTATGGCCCGTAGAAGCTGAGAGCCACACAGGCCGTAGTGGTAAGTTGTGATGACGTTTGTAGATTACAGTGGTCGGAGTTGAAGAGTATTGGCATCAATTTTTGATGCTGCGAGTCTAGAATGTCAGTTCAAACACTATAGAACATTGATTGAAGCATGCATTGATTCTCGTAGTGCAAGACATACATTTGAGATCCTCCTGCGGGTAATGAATGGTACACAATCGGAGACATTCTCCTAGAATCTGTCTGTTGTTTAGGCAATGGCCTATCAACATTTGGCTGTTGGACGGCTTCGACCGGACAGAGAGATTTTATCCAAACGTCCACATGCAAATAATCAAACTTAAATTGCCTAGTTCATTGAGGAATTTATTCAGAAGACCTTAGATGATGAAAAAAACTGTGTAAGCTCATTCGGAACGTCAATTTTGCCTAAGGAAGACAGCTATTTTGTTAGCATTCAATGCACGAGCGAATTGCACGCAACTCAAATGAATTTTAAACAAAATAATTAATTTCAAAAAGAAAAAGAAGAAAAAAAGTTCTTTATTATAAAAAATATTTATAAAACCTTTCCTTTTTCTTTTCCCCAGTCCTCACGCACAGGAGCGCCACTCTCGACTCTATTCACGCATCGGCCTCACGCCTCTGTCGCGATGCCCTAGCGGGCTTCTCCCGCTTTCTCGTCCTGCCGCCGACGACTTCTCTGCGGCTTTTACGGGTACCGACCATCCTGTTTCTCATGCGAGAGAGGAAGTCTCCCCCTCTCGCGCGCCCAACCGTGCGGCCAAGCTCCAACCGAGTTCCATCTCGTCCACTGTAGCCGCTCTCCTCTCCTCCTCGTCGGACATCATGTCCAGCTGGCGGCCTCTGCTCATAAAGCCGGTCCGCCCTCTCTCCCGTCAAAATCTACGTGATGCACTAGCTATTTTGAGCTCTATGCCGCAATGCCTCACGCCAGCGTCCCTCTCTGGTGGAGTCTAAAACGACGAGCTTCTCCAGCTCCCGTGGACTGCCTCCCTTCTTGCACAAGAATACAACCCGCTCCGGCTCTTTCTCCTTGCCAATGTACTTTCGTCGCACGAAATAGCCGTTGATATCCTTTCAGACAACCTTGCCGCCTTTGACTGGTGCTTACTCCCTCAGGCATAACCCCAACATTTGTGGGAGGCCGAAGCTTCCTCATGGCCCTTCCTCTAGGCCCGAAGCCTCTTTAGAGCTCCTCGCTGAGGGCAGCGACGTTTAGAAGCCCGAGCAACCCCTCTCACGAAGGTACGTGTTGGACATACCCTGACATTTTCAAATTGTTTTTCGAAGATATTTGCATACCTTCTGCCCTCACTTTGTCCAACCTTCATTTGTTACATGCATGTCCTACGAGGTTCGTCAGTGTGTGGACCAGACATCGATAGCTTGGAGCAAGCGATGAAGATGCCTTCAGACGTCACAAATGTATAGCCCCTCCCGACTCGGTGAATTTCTTTTTAGCAAGCCCCTAGGTCTGGTTGTTAGAGAAATTAGGGCTAGGTTATTGTGATAGAAGAAGCCCCATAGGTCAGGAAATATTGTGATCCTCCTACAAATCCCAGAGCGAACCTACCTAATTCTAGCTCCAAAACCTTATACAATCAAGATTGTAAT